TTGGGTGTTAGTCTCCTATTTTGTTACTGTATGTTCCCCAGATGAATGCAATATTTCTGTCTGTCCCTCTCTTTCTGACTCATTTTGCTTAGCATGATACTTTCCATGTAGTATCACTTGATTGTAAATTTCATGACTTCATCCTTTCTAACACCTACATAGTACTCCATTGTGTAGATGTACCAAAGTTTCTTTAACCGGTCATCTACTCTCAGGCACTCAGGTTTTTTCCAGATTCTAGCTATTGTAAACAGTGCTGCAATGAACAAACAAGTGCAGATGTCTCTAGTTTCTTAAGATATGAAGTTAAGTTATTTATTGGAGCATTTTCTTGCTTCCTGGTAAAAATTTGTGTTTCTATGACCTTCCCTCAGTTAATCTTTGATAAAGGAGACATTTTTTCAATGTCTCATAGATCCTGATAGCTTATTTCTTCATTCATATTCTTTTCCAGTAATATTTTAATTTCTTTTTTGATTTTCCCTTTGACCAAATGGTTGTTTAATAGAATTTTATTTAGTCTCCAACTGTTTGAGCCTCTCCAGCTTTTTGTTTAATAGTTTCTACCTTCACAGCATTGTGCTCTGAAAAAAACTTGATATGATTTCTTTTTTCATGACTTTATGGACACTTGTTCCATGTCTATCCATGTCTATCTTGGAGAATGTTCCATATTCACTGAAAAAGAATCTGTATTTGATTTGGCTGGAGGAAACACAGAGAGGCATGTGTGTGCCTATTAAGTCCAGTTCTTCTAATTCTTCATTTAAGACCATTGTTTCCATATTGATTTTCTAATTAGTTGATGGATCCATTGATGAGGATGGAGTGTTAAAGTTTACCACTACTGTGTAATTACTATAGATGTCTCTTCTCAGGTCTATTAGTAGTTGCTTTACAAATTTTCCTTTGGTTTTTGTTTGTGGAGAGAATTTAGATTACCATTTAGATTTCCTCAATACTGATAAGTCATTTTAGGTGTTCTATATCTTCTTGGTTCAGCCTTGGAGGCTATAGGAGTCCAAAAATTCATCTATTTCTTCTAGGTTCTTACATTTTGTGGAATAAAACTTTTCTAAGTAATTCCTGATGATCCTTTGAATTTCTGTGGTGTCTGTTGTGATGTCTTCCCTTTCATTTCTGATTGAGTTAATTAGGGTTCTCTCTCTCTTTGTGATTTTGCTAGTGGTTTATTGATCGTGTTTAATTTTTCATAGAACCAGCTCTTGATTTCATTAATATTTTGGGTTGGTTTTTCTTGGGGATTCCAATTTATTAATCCCAATTTTTAAATTTCTACTCTATGTTTTCCTTCATTCTGTCTGTTTTGGACAGTTTTATTGGCCATTATCCAGTTTCTTAAGTTGAGCAGTTAAATTATTTATTATTTTATTTATTTATTATTTATAAGAATATAATATTATTTATTAAATTATATGGGCCTTTATTTATTCCTGATAAATGTTTGCATACCTATAAACCTTACTCTTTACACTGCTTTTGCTGCATCCTACAAGTTCTGGTGGAGACAGACCCTCAGGTATATGGTCAGTTGATCTTTGATAAAGGAGAAAAAAGCACAAAGTGGAAAAAAGAAAAGCCTCTTCAAAAAGTGGTGCTAGGAAAGCTAGGTAGCTACATGCAAAAAGCTGAACTCAGACCTTGTTCTAAATCCATGAAAAGAAACCAAAATGGATTAAAGACCTCAATACCATTCCTGAATCTGTAAGGTACATAGAGGAAAACATAGGAAGAAACTTTCAGCATCTGCATTGCAAACGATAATGCCTAAAAGGAAAATGAGAGAGAGAAGAGAGGTGCTTGCCATATAGATATTTGGGGGAGGGGGACACTTGGAGAGATGGGCGGGAAACTGGTTCTGTGTATTTCACAGTGATTCAATTAAAATTTTTATTTATTTATTTATTTATTTTATTTTTAATTGAATCACTGTGAGCTACATTTATAAAACTTTCATGTTTGAATTTCAGTCACACAATGATAGAACATCCACCCCTCCACCAGTGCACATTTTCAATCACCAATGTCCCCAGTATCCCTCCCCTGTCCCACCACTCTCTCTGCCTCTTCAATTAAAATTTTTAAATGAAAAACATTATTAGCAAGAATGTAATTTTTGCCATATTGCTGTATTTTGCATGACTTTTTTACAGTTTGCTTTTCCTTCTTTGACTTTCCCTTATGTTCTCTGCTTGCACTTTGATACCAGCAATTTGTGTATTATTCAACTTTCACTTGTCTTTTCTTTGTATCTTCTGTATATTTTTGTTTTGAAATTGTCTAACCTTATTTTCCTTTTAGCCTTAAAGCATGAAAGTTCATTCTTGGAATTCCCTTTATTACCCGTTTTTTCCCCATCTTATGCATTGGTTTTTACTTTGTGTCTTACTGCTTCTGAGTAGGGTTTCCTGGCATTTTATTGAAGACCAGTTAGAATTTCTTCACTATTTCTGAGACTTGATTAGGCCCAGCGATGGCAATCTCTTCCCAGCCATTAAAATTTTTTGTTTGTTTGTGGGTTTTTTGCTTGTTTGTTCCGTGGCATGGGAGGGACTGAACACAGGGTATCCCACATTCAAAGCTCTATCATATCACTATTCCACATTGCTGGTCTGGAAAGGTTTTTTTAAATGTCAAAACACGAATCGGAATGGGGCCTCCTCCTCCCAGCTCCCTAGTTTTCCAATAGCTTGACAGTCACACCCACAAACTGACCCCCAGCACCACGTAATCTCATCAATGGCCAAGACCCAGAGGCTATAAACCAAAGCTCCTGGAAGAGAGCGCCACAGAATTTTCTGGAGCACGCAGTTGCATTCACAGCCACGCAACTTCTTACACTCTATCTCACTTACTTATCAAAAGGAGCACACATTTGTTTGGTTTTAACATACTTGCTTGTATTTTCTTATATTTGGGCTTAAATGGCTCCAGAATGAAAATACAACAACCTTCACACACTTCCCTTTTATTGTGGTGGGAAGGTGCTCGGTGATGGGATTGGTGTTTGAATATTATCTGTAATGAAATATTATGAACTACCTTTATGAAAATAAAATATATAAAAAAATTTTTACAAACTGTCAAAACATCATAATACACAAAAAATTAAAATTATTTCCATACAGTGGAATGAATTCAATGGCTGCCTCATAACTTTAAAAATATCTAGAAGCATGAGATGTAGCCCCTACTCTTACATTGTGGGATGAGCAAATGGCACCGGAAGATCTGAAAGACATATTAGGCTTTTAGGAACAGGTGTTCAACTAAAAACTACAAAATTGGGATTAGGGAGACAGATAGCTCGATTGGTCACACATTGTATGCATGCATGGCTTAAGGTCTGTGGTACTAGTGATGATCTGGATCACCCTCAATAGTACTGGGGCGGGGCTCCAGGGTTAGCACCCTGTAAAGCTCATGGAACTGTGTGGTTCTGAGGATTGACCTAGGGTAGACCACATGCAAAGCATATGCCTTACCTATGGTACTATCTCTCTAGCCTCTCAGTTGCACTTCTTTAATAAACTATCTTGTGTAATTGAAATATTCCCCCAAATGGTCACTGTAATTCTAGGTTACATACCATCAGATGTTAACATTTTTCTAAGTCATTGCAGTTTCTAGAATTATAGTTCTTTCTAATTATTTTTTGCGGTGTCCAGGATCAAATAAGGGTCTCACATGCAAGACAGAGACTGTGCCACTAAGGCGTATCCCCAGAAAGAACTATAGGTCTTAAACATAAAGTGGCATATTCAGCTCTCAATAGAAAGGATTTCATTTCTTTTAGCTAGGTTTCTGAGCTTTATGGAGCCTGATCCTTAAGCTCTTTCCTTCTTATAAGCCTTGTGCATATTTTTCAGAAACAAATAGTATCTAAAGAAATGGAACAGTAGACACCAGTAAACTAAGAGTTGTGACAAAGTTGAATTAGCAGACCTCAAAAAATGGGGACTGGGGGCTGGAGCAATAGCACAGCGGGTAGGGCGTTTGCCTTGCACACAGCCAACATGGCCGATACAGGTTCGATTCCCAGCATCCCATATGGTCCCCCCAATCACCGCCAGGAGTGATTCCTGAGTGCATGAGCCAAGAGTAACCCCTGAGCATCGCCGGGTGTGACCCAAAAAGCAAAAAAACAATGGGGACTGCTTCCAAAGAATGGGGGACAGCAGCTGCTACCAACAGTTGCCAACATGGAATCTGGGGAATAATTCCAAACAAATGTGAAACTGCAGACTAAACTGTGATGTTCGACATTCCCAGTGGGTAATCTGGGATAAAACCCAGTGTTGAGTCTTATACATTGCTGCAAACTAAATCAAACCCAATCTAACTCAAGATCTAACTCTGGACCCTGTCCAGTCAAAATAGGACCCAGTCTGGCCTGAACCTATTTGGTCTCTTATTTGTATCCAGTACAATTCCATATGGTACCACAAAGACTTAAGTGGTGAATTGCAGTAAATGAAGACAGAAGACTTGAAATAAGAAAACTAAACCAGCAACCCCCTAGCAATGGCCACTGTGGAGTTAGAAAATAGGGTAGAGATAGCAAGAAGAAATAGCCACCTAGGGCTAGAGCAAGAGTATAACTGGTTAGGTGCTTGCTTTGCATGTGGCCAGTTCTCTCTGAATCCCCAGCATCACACGTGGTCCCTCAGGTCCCTCAAGCACAGCTAGGTATGATCCCTATGCTCAGAGCCAGGAGTAAGTCCTGGGCACAGCTGGATGTGCCCCCCCCCACCCCACCCACTGAAAAGAAAGAAATTGCTGAATAAACCAAGAGCTAGAAATTTTAGATTCTGGATAAAAGTATTTACCAGTTCTAAAGTAAGTTCCACAAAACCCTAGTCTGGAGAGCCAAATAGATCTGGAGCTGGAAGCAAAGAGCTGAGCATAGTCCACAGAAATGGTGAGAAAAACAAAGACATCAATAGGGTTACTAAGCCCTGCACCTTTATTTTTGTTTTCATGGGAGAGTGCAAGCGCAGTCCCCCACTACCACAAATTATGCAGTCAATTTTCCCACATGTGGAGAAATCGCAGGGGTCAGCACATCTGGGGTACAATGAATAAGCCTCATTCTGGGAAAACCACCTTCGGGATCATGGTATCTCCTCTGCCAGGTAAATAAAACAACTTTGTTTGTTTGTTTGTTTGTTTGGGGGCCATACTTAATGGTGCTCAGGGGTTACTCCTGTTTCTGCACTCAGGAATTACTCCTGGTGGTACTCAGGAAACCAAATGGTATGCTGAGGACTGAACACAGGTCAGCTGCATGCAAGGCAAATGCCCTACCCACTGTACTATCACTCCAGCACCTATGTACGTTTATTTCTAATTGTCACTAAATGCTGCTTGTACTTTGTTTCAGATCCTATTGTGGCCACCACATATGCTAATTAGAGAAGGGAACACCAAATAAAGGTATTGGGAGCATCCTCCCAGGATGGGAGAAGCATGCTGAAAGTAGACTATAGACCAAACATGATTGTCACCCATTGCCTCTTTTGCAAACCACAACACCCAAAAGGAGAGAGAGAACAAAAGGGAATGCCCTGCCACAGAGGCAGGGTGGGATGGGGGGGATGGGGGGGGTGGGAGGGATACTGGGATCAGTGGTGGTGGGAAATGGGCACTAGTGGAGGGATGGCTATTTGATCATTGTATAATTGAAACCCAAGCACAAATATTTGTAATTCTGCAACTGTACCTCATGATGTCTCACTAATTAAAAAAAATTTAAAAATTTTGTAAGTCTGCACTGTACCTCATGATGTCTCACTAATAATAAATAAATAAATAAAAAGCAATTTTCCAACAAGCTTAAAGTAAAAAAAAAATCTTTTCAAATAAATTTGATACAATTGACTTTATTAAATGATTTACTAATCAGTTTGCTCCTCATCTATAACAAGAAATGCACTATATGGAGTGTGCAAAATGGAAAGGTATTATAGTAAAAAAAAGACAGAACAAGAAATGAAAGATGATTTCATGCAAGAAATCCTCTCTTAGCAGGAGGCAGAGAAGTCTTATCATGAAGATGACCTCACTATTGCTAACCAGAAAATTCCAGATGGTTTAAAATTGATCTTTTGGAAGAGGCTGAAACCACCATAAGGAGGTTAATTTTTAAGTACTGATGATGTTTGGTATAAATGACTTCATTTTGGTCTTTCTGATTCTTTTTAAAATTATTACTGTATTGACTTGTGAGTTTAGGAAGGAAAAATAATTTTCCCTCTGCCTGTTTGTTTTTGACGGAGACCTCTTTGTAATAATGATAGCAATTTTTAAAATAACAAAAGAGGTCAGGAGAGTACTCAACAGACTGGGGTTCATGTTTTGCATGCAGGAACTCTGGGTTCACATGGTTCTCCTGGCACCACACAATTCCCCAGAACATTCTGGAAACAACCCCAAGTACTGAGTTAAGAGTAGCACTGTGGAGTATGGCCCCAAAGAAACAAAATTAACAGAAGTGAAACAAACAAAGGTTTAAAACATATAGAACTCTTTCTTGTATACATGAGAAAGACGCAGGAAAACTATAACCCTGAAACCACTGGAGCCAACAACTTCTGTATCTTCCCCAAGTAAAGAAAAACTGCTGTAAGAAGAGGAAGAGGCCAGTGATGGGGGTTTCCCAGAAAAGGAGAAAAACCAACAATAGGATTGCTATGTAGATTTTGTTGCCTCTATTTATAAGCAGTTGGTAGACATTTACAACCATCCTATCACTCATAAAGGAAGGGAGACTGCTTTAAGATCGAAGATTTCATTTAGAAATATCAATGTACCTGACCAAAAAAAAAGTATCTTCCTATCAGTTTCCAGCGCTGCCCCTGCCTACCATTTCTCTCAAATAAGCAGCTCAAAAAATTTGTCTGTGAACTAGAGAGATAATATAGCAGGCAGGGTGTTTGTCTTGCATGTGTTCAACCTGGGTTTGATCCCCTGGAACCCCATGCCTGTCAGGCGTGATCCCTGAACGCAGAGCCAGGAGTAATTCCTGAGCACAGCTGGGTGTGGACCAAAATATTCTTTTGTTCACTTATTTGTTTGTGGGCCATACCCAGTGGTGCTCCAGTTCAACTCCTAAATTGATGCTCAAAGGTTGCCCTCTACCATACTCCAAGGATGTTGTGGTGTTGGAAATTGAACCCAGGGCCTCACATGACGCAAGGCAAGGACTTCATCTCTGAGCCACATCCCTGGCCTTCCAAATAGTTCTTATGCCAAAGAGGTATATTCCAGAGTAGCAAATTCTGCTCCTGTTAATTTGGATGGGGCTGGAGCAATAGCACAGAGAGTAGGGTGTTTACCTTGCACTTGGCCGATCCAAGTTTGATTCCTCCACCCCTGTCGGAGAACCCGGCAAACTACCGAGAGTATCTCGCCTGCCCAGCAAAGCCTGGCAAGCTAACCGTGATGTATTTGATATGCCAAAAACAGAAACAACAAGTTCTCACAATTTGTTGTGAGTTGTTACTGGTGCCCGCTTGAGCAAATCGATGAACAGTGAGAGGACAGTGCTACAGTGCTACCTTTTCATGCATATGTGGGCTGGGGGGTGGCGGTGGGGATTGGATCTGCTATAGAAGGTACAGGCACTCTGGTTCTTGTCCTTAAATAGTCAAGATTGAAAGCAAGGAACTGGGGATCCAGTGATCAAATTCAGAAAAGACTTTATTTAAGGAAGTGAAAGGAATGCAGAGTTCCTAGGTTATGGGAGGGGTTTCCTAAAGAAGGATTCAAAGAAAGACAGAAGCCTTTCCTCTTTTATACATTTTTAAGGAAGGTAGGTGGGTGAGAATTTTGTTATTATGCTCCAAGAATGTGGGCTATGAAAACAGGTGAGAGGATGCTGAGATGATTCTCTTCTGGTGTCTGGATCCAACCAGGTCTACGTCGTCCATGTTAGGCACCACCTAAGCCTCCCTTGTGACCTTGTGCCATTGATTCCCTTTCTTTAGGGGTATATTTCTAATCTCACCCCACCTCTTTCTCTTTGGTTCTTGGTCCCTATCAGAGTTACACCCAGCAGTGCTTAAGAATTATACCGGGTTTTGTTCTCAAAGAATCTCTCACGGGACCATATTCAATGCTGACAATAGGACCAGTATCAATTATGTGCAAGGCAAGCAAGAACCTTAACCTTTATACTATTTATCTAGCCCCAAATTGGGTAACTTTTCATTTTCCTTCTTCCTTTGGGGGCTGGGGGGCTATTGGGGCTGGAAGACTATTGTGTTTTAATAAAACGAGCACAGAGTTTGGGGAGTTTGATTTCTATTTCTGCCTCTGACTTGCTGGCCAATGTTTGGCATGGTCCTTACTGTCCTCTATCTGGTTTCTAGATGAAAAGTAAACGTTTTTTTAAGATGATTTATTTATTTTTAAAGGGCTGATGTAGGCCACTACTCCTATCTCTATGCTGGGGAGTTGCTCCTAGCAGTGCTAGGGGTCAGGGGTCAAATGGTGATGGGAATGAACTGACCACAAGTCAAGCCTTAACTCCTGCTATCCCTTTAGCTTTTTGTGACGATTTAATGTGATACTTATATAAAGCAATCAGTAACATTAAGTGTTCCAAAAATAGTAGTTGAGGGGGCTGGAGTGACAGTCCAGGGAGTTGGGTGCTTGCGTTTCACACGACTGACCTGGGTTCGAGCTCCAGCATCCCATATGGCCACCTGAGCATTACCAGGAGTAACTCCTGAGTCCAGAGCCTGGAGTAAACCCAGAGCATTTCCAGGTGTGTGCTACCCTCCCCCGTTCAAAATAAAATAGTAGCTGAAGGAAGAAAAAGTGTTTTGGTTGTTGCCTCAAAAGAAAAATAGCACTAGAAAGAGAGGTAGTCTTGCCAGGGATGTGGTTCAGTGGTATAGTCTGGCATGTGTGAAGTTCTGGGTTCAATTCCCAGCACTGCCTCCCCCCAAAAAATGAAAAAAAGAAACGTGGTTTTTGGCTCCTTACAGTGTTGACTCTTGTGGCCATTATTAAATCTTTGAGGATGAGTTTTTTTTTCTGCTATACACTAATTAGTGAGTACATTTACCCTTCAAGGAGAAATATTGTCAATGGTTTGGCTGGGATCTACATACCAGACATTTCTCTTCACATTATAAGCTCTCATACTTTTGGTGGAAATTATGACTTTTTAGAATAATTTAATAAAATATTTGTATTTCTCCATCTTCTACCCAAGATGGCACTTTGGTTCATTCTAAACACAGACTGTTGATTTGTTTCAGTGTCCCAGGTTCTTTAGCACTCAAAAATAAATGGTTGTATATCTCACAAAAAATATTGATTCAAAAGGATATATGCATACTTATATTCATTGCTTCACTTAGTACAATAGCCAAGGTATGGCCGAGATTAGTACCAGGAATTTTGCTCCATGGCTTGGAGGGCAGCCACACATGCTAGGGGAAAAGGGAGCTCAGATAGAGAAGGGAGCACCAAATAAGGGTGTTGGGAGGATCCTCCCAGGATGGGAGAAGCATGCTGAAAGTAGGCTATAGACCAAACATGATTGCCACTCAATGCCTCTTTTGCAAACCACAACAACCAAAAGGAGAGAGAGATCAAAAGGGAATACCCTGCCACAGAGGCAGGGTCGGATGGGGGAGATGGGGGTGTGAGGGATACTGGGATCCATGGTGGTGGGAAATGGGCACTGGTGGAGAGACGGGTATTTGATCATTGCATAATTGAAACCCAAGCACAAAAATTTGTAAGTCTACAACTGTACCTCATGGTGTCTCACTAATAAAAATTTTTAAATGGTTGTATATCTCACCAAAAATATTAATTCAAAAGGATATATGCATACTTATATTCATTGTTGCACTTAGTACAATAGCCAAAGTATGGAAACAATCCAAACACTCAACTACAGATCATGAAGTTGTAGTGTCTATGTACAAAATAGAATACTATATAGCGCTAAGAAAGAACAAAGGCATACAATTTGCAGCAACATGGATGGAACTAGAGGATCTCATGCTGAGTGAAGTCAGTCAGTAGGAAAGGGACGGATACAGAATGATCTCTCATATCTCTCATCCGAACTTAAAGATGCACAGTGTGGTAACAACAAAGAGTCAAAGACAACATAATGGA